TCATGGGGATGGACTCGCACACTGTGTGTCTTCTGTGTCGGCTTCTTCCGCTGAGCACAGTGTTTCCGAGGTTCGGCTCAGCCGTGGCAGGTGTGGGTGCTCCGTTCCTTTCTACAGCCTAACACCCCATTGTCCGTGCGCCCCGCTTGTCCACTTGCCTGTGGGTGGACACAGCTGTTTGCACCTTTGGCTGTTGCGAGCCGTGCGGGGACCACGAGGTGTCATCCTCAGCCGACGCCCGGGGCGGCCGGCGCTCACGGGACTCCGTGGGGTGAGCCTCACGGTACTGACACAGCTCGCAAGCCAGGCCCCCAGCACCCCCATGTGCTTCATTGTCCTCCCTCAGTCCGGGGCGCGAAGGCAGCCCACCTGCCCGCTCCGCTGAGGCTCCGGCTGCTGCCTGTCTTTGGGGTTGTCCCTGTAGCCACCTCCTGTCTCGTGACAGCCCTGGTTGGCCGGTTGTCAGCGACCTCCTGGGGTGAGCTGAAGCTCAGGTTCTGTGGCATGTGGGAGATGGGACGTCAGCGAGCCCCCTCCTCTGAGCCTCGGCTGCAGGCGGTGGACTCTCGGGGGCCCTGCCTGCCAGGAACCCTCAGGACTGTGACGGCGTCTCCGTGTGCCTTTCAGAACCAGCTGCTGACGAAAGGCATGGTGATCCTGAGGGACAAGATCCGCTTCTACGAGGGTAAGTGGCAGGCCCGTGTCCTGGGCCACGCTGCTTGCTGGTGTGGCTGCTGGTCATTGTGGCTAGGGCGGCACGACCGGTGTGCCCGCAGGGACCGTGGCACTGCCTGCCTCACCTGGGCCCCCGGGGCTCTGGGCCGGCCGTGTGGCTCTCCTGGTCAGAGGACTCAGAAGGGACAGAAATGATGCATCAGGGCAGGAGGGGACCTCGTCAGGGAGAGCATCTGCCCCTGACTTGCTGGAGCCCAGGATCCCTAGAGATGTCCGAGAGAAGGCTCCTGCCTCACCCACTGCCCACAGCAGCCGGGGAGAACTGCAGGATCTTCGAGGCCTGAGGGGAAGTGGCTCGAAGAGGCTGGAGCAGGTGGCTGACGCCTGGGTGGGAGCAGCTGATGGGGGCTCCTTGCTAGACATGCTGGGGACTTTTCTCTTTCAGTGCCCACCCCACCCCGAGAGGCCTGTGGGTCACTGTTCCATTGCGCAGCTGGGGAACAGTCAGACGATGGGCGGTTTGTCTAGCCGCACTACAAATGAGGGGAGGCGGGACTCAAACCCAGGCCAGCCTGACTCCAGTGCACATACCCGTTGCCTTGCGTGAGTCCCAGCTGGCTCTCTGCCTGGCTCAGGCCTCAGCAAGTAGGGGAGGGCCCTGACTGACCACCCTCTCTCCCCCAGACCCTGAGTCTCAGTGGGCCGGCCAGGTCCTAGCACCCTCTGGCTCCCAGTCTCTGTGGGCCCTGGGGCAACAACCAAAGCATGTGCCTCCTGGGGAGAGATCAGTTTTGGGAGGACCCGGCTCAAACTGATACACCTTTTTTTTTTTAATGTTCACCTGAGGATATTTTTTCCATTACTCTTCAGAGAGTGGAAGGGAAAGAAAGAGAAGCATTGATATGAGGACACATCGATTGGTTGCCTCCCGCACGCACCCCGACTGGGGATCAAGCCGGCAACCGAGGTACATGCCCTTGGCTAGAATCGAACCCGGGACCCTTCAGTCCACAGGCTGATGCTCTAACCACTGAGCCAAAGCAGCTCAGGCCTGATACACCTTTGCTACGGGCCTTCTGTGTGCCAGGCCTGTGCCAAGTGCAGGTTTCATGAATGTTTGTTGAGCACCTACTATGCGCTGGGCACTGGGCACATGCTTACTCTGCTAGACTCTGTCCTGACTCTACTGACTCACCGGATCCCCCAACAACCTTGTGAAGTAGGTACATTGTTGCAGCCACTGAACATAGGGGGAAACCGAGTCACAGTGGGGTTCAGTAACGTCCAGGTCACGTGGCTGCTACATAGCAGCCTGGCTCCTGAGCCCACCCTCTCCTCTCCGCTGCTCCAGATATCTCCCCAAGTCCTCACTCTGACCCTGGGATGAAGAGGTGTTAGTCTATTTTGTAGAGGAGACTGAGGCCTTAGAGGTCTGGGGTGCTCAGGATGAACTCTGAGCTGTGTGTCCCGTTCTATGCACACCCCCTCTGTGCGTATGAGTGGAAGCTGCTGAGGCAGGAGCCTGAGAAAGGCCATGAGAACCTCAGATGTGGAGGCACAGCCACCGGGGGTTCTGGGCGGGCTTCCTGGAGGAGGCAGCACCTAAGCCTGCAGGGCAGTGAGGATTTGGCACCTGGTGGAGACGCCCTCCCACACCCCTCTTCTGACTCGGCACATTCCAGTGGTGGCTGTGCCTCCCACCAGCTCCAGCCCAGGGGAGCTAGGATTGCCAGAGAAGGGGAGCTTTGTGTGGCTTGGTGGAGTCCTGCCCACAGTGGCCTTGTCCGCCAGGCCACCCAGCAGGGAGTGTCAGCCCCATCCAAACTCCCCAGACCTTGGGGACAGGCTGGGAGCCCCAGGCTTGAGGGCAAAGGGCCTGGTCCAGTTCTCACCCAGCCACAGACATTTCCTCCTGGCCTCAGTATCCCCGCCTTAGACTATAGAGTTCGTGGGGCTCCATCCACATGCTCAGTACGTGTCAGAACCCAGGTGTCCTCTGGGGACCTGGAAATGGAGGAGACCCAGGCCCTGCCTAGCAGGGCCTTACAGCCATTTGGGGACACAGACAAAGACTAGATGGTGACAGTCCAGTGTGCTGAATGTCAGGGCGAAGTCCTGGGAAGAATGGATTGGTTTCACATTAGCAGTCAGGGAGGGCTGCATGGAGACAGTGACCCTTGAGTAGAGCCTCAAAATGTAGTCTGTTCAGGACATCTGGCCTCCTTCAGTCCAGGCAGTGGGAACAGTAACCAGCCTCTACCCTGAGGGCAACCCCGAGACCCTCCCCTCCGCCTCCCACCCCAGGGTCCCAGGGAGAGCTCTTCATTGAGACTATTGCCTGTGCCCAGCCTTGTCCTCACCCACAACTCTGATGGAAAGCGTGGTGACCCCCCTGGGTGGCCCCAGGCCTCTGGTGGACAGGGTGGTGACCCCCCTGGGTGGCCCTAAGCCCTCACCACCTGCTCCTCTCACTTGCCTCCCTGGAGGCCTTGAACATCGACTCCCAAGCAGAGTGATTCCTGAAAACGGGAAGCCTGGAAGCCAGCCTAGAGGTGGAGGCTCCTTCCCAGGACCCGTCCCAGGTTGTAGTTTGGTGGTCTCAGCGCAGTGGCTCATAGGAGTGGACTCCAGCTGCAGCCACAATAACCCTGTGGTCATCGCTGTCCCTGGAGATCTCCCTGAGATGGCTGAGACCCGAGCTGACATCGTTCATTCTGGTCTCTGGGCCTCCCAGTCGGCCCTCGGCGCTAATAAAAGGAAGATTGACCTGCCCCCAGGGCAGAACCAGCTGGGTCACTGCCGCTGCCTGGGTCCTGCTGAATGTCCCCAGGGACACAGCAGCCCAGTTGTTATGACAAAAGCCAGCACTTCCTGAGCACCTGCATTTAGCCCTGTGCAAGTGGGCCAGTTACTGCACCCATTTTACAGAGAATGGCACTGAGGCTCCAGGTGCGGGACTCCCCTGGGGCCCCACAGCAAAGGTTCAACTTAGTGCAGCCCGTCATCCCTGAGAACCCCAGCACCCCCAGACTGAAGTCCCCAGCAGAGAGCTCTACCCAGGCGTGGACTCTGTGCTTTACATCTGCTTTCTGCCCCGGGGACTGGAGTGTCCTGAGCCCGGTGGACACTGGCATGGCCTGTGCCCAGGGCCACCCCGCAGCCAGCCTAGGGACTGAGCCGCCGCCTTCTTGCCGGCAATGCCGGGGACCTGAAGGGACCTTTATATTCAGACAGAGCCTCCGGGGCAGCAGGCACCCGCCTTTCCCGCCGCAGACCCAGGGAGGACCGGAAGCTGGCCGCTTGGCGGGGAGCCCCAACGCCCGCAGACGGCCGAGCAGAGGCCAGAACCCCCACCGCCAGGCGGGCTGGATGGGCCTCCCGGGGCGGCCCCGCCAGGCTCCCCGCCCAGAGCCCCAGCACCTATGCAGACCTGGGCTCTGCGGGGAGGGGAGTGGGGCCCGGAGCTTAAGCAGAGTGAGGAGGGAGCCCAGGGCTCTGGCCTGGCCCCCTCGTTCCCATGGAAACCTCCAGTGGTCAGGCGCGAGCAGTGCAGTCTGGGAGACTTGCCAGCTGGGGGCGAGCCCCCCCTCACCCAGAGATACCCACCACACCCCTGCTGGTGGCTGGTCTGGCTTCCAGGTGGGGGGTCGGCTCCTCCCGGCCCCAGCAGCCCTTCATCCTAACTCTGCTCTTCCTGATAGAAAGGCGGAGGGTTCAGCTCTGCATTTCCTGGGGGATCCCGGAGCCAGCCTGGTGGCACCTTAGCTGTTACCACCACCACTACCCCCCCCGCCCCCGGGGACTGGTCACCCTGAGGATAGCGCCGCTCCTTCCAGGACCAGCAGAAGTGCCAGCAAAGCTTGTCCAACTGCCCTCTTTCCACACATCTACTTTCGTGGTTCACACACCAAGGATGTCAGTCCAGCAAACCATCCTAAGGCAGCTTGGATAGCACCTCCTCCAGAAAGTCCTCCCTGCCTGACCCTCTCCACCTTCTCGCCTCCTCTCTTCTACCTGGGGATGTTGCTATGGTTAGACATGGTCTCCCTGGCTCCACAGGTCCCATCTCAGGCAGGGACCCAGGCCCTTGAGAGAGACCTGAACCTCTGGGAAGGAGGCTCTGTCTCTTCAGTGGTCCACTGAGATCACCCTTTGCCATCCTCCCGATTGCTGTTTAATGTCCTGCTTCCCTGTCCCTTAATGGGACTGGGACTGTTGGGGGCTCGGCTGGGTCTCCAGGGTCAGGCCTGGCACAGTCTAGGTGCTCTACCTGTTGGTGGCCAGGCTGGTGGGTGAGTGGAGGGAGGGAAGGC